TCAACTCGGGAGGGGTGAGGAGAGAGGTTGCCAGTGAAGACTGAGGCAAAAAAGGTGTTGAGTACCTCAGCCTTCTCCTCATCTGCTGTTACCAGCTTGCCTGTCTCACTCATCAGTGGGGGTACGCTTTCTTTAACCATCCTTTTCCGGCTGATATACCTGTAGAAACCCTTCTTGTTATTCTTTGCATCCCTAGCCAAGTTTAGCTCCAGCTGCGCCTTGGCCTTCCTGACCCCATTCCTACACAACCGAACCGCATCCCTGTACTCCTCCCAGGATGCCTGTCCCTGCTTCCACTGCCTATGCAGTTCCCTCTTCCTCCTTAGTTTGACCAGCATCTCTTGTCTCAACCATGCCGGTCTCTTCCCTTCTTTGCCTGATTTCTTACACCTAGGGATCGAGAGCTCTTGTGCTCTGTGGATCTTCTGTGCCTTAAACGCGTTCAGTAAAGGCAGTGCTACAGGCTGCTAGGAGCAGGATCCCAGAGATACCTTGAGGGAGGGGATCTGCCATTCTGTGCTCTGCAGGCAGGAAAATACTCCCCCAAGCTTCAGAGATACCTTGGGCCAGATTTGAAATGCTGTGGGAACAAATTCAAAAAGTGTCTGTTGCATTTGTTCACTCTGTTCCTTTCTGTGTACCGTTCTGACAAAAGCTGGTAAGGACAGACTGCATCCTTGGCATTTATATGCAATGATGCTGCATGATTTTGACTCCACATGCAGTATATGCTGCAAACCAGGGTTAGTCAAAACTTACCAGACTTAGCTGTGGTTCTTTCTCTTATTCTGTGAGTTTCTGTCTCTGCTTTAAAGTTATTTACACCTTGTTTGCTTTTGGCTGGTGACCTGATCGTGATTTAATTGTTTGGAGCTGCCATGTGTCAGTGTATTTGGTTAAAACAAGGTTGTGTAGCTTAACTGAAAACAACTACAGAACTTACTGTTCTGGTTGGCCTCTGTCTTGCCTCACAGTTTCAGAAATAGCAAAATACTGAAACTCATCTTTGCTTGCTGTATTTCAGATAGGAAAAGAGCATGTAGGCCTAAAGGCTGTAACTGAAATTCTCCAGGACATCCAGTACAAGGTAAGGTGTTTTCTGAAGAAATGCTTCCTTCTCTGACCAGAGTGTGAGAGAGCGAAGGGTATATATGAAACGCTGAAGCCACGTCAAGTGTTTCAGATGTGTCTGTAGTCAAGGCACATGTGAAAGCCTTAGTTTGGTGGCCTGCATCAGTATCTCAGCATTTTACAGTACTTTCAGATAAAATTCAGTCTTTATAGTTACTTCCTTTCCTGATGGCCAGAAGGTTTGATCATCTATACCAGTAACTGATTGCAAATGCTGCCTTTTCAGTGATTATCATGAAGTCAGCGTGAATACAAGCACTGCAGCATGCTTAGTGAATATCAGCAGCATCTCCAAACTTACCTGGTTTTAATTTGTGGAGGAAAAGAATAGATGACCTGAGCACCCATATTAACTTGCTGTGGGAAATCAGCAAAAACACAATGCCATCTTGTCAGATGGATTATTTGTGGGGATCCTCAAGGACAGATAATAAGCCTAGCAGGACTGAGGAGACATGAATGCTCTCCAGAATGTTGATGCTCTCTTAAATGACCTTGGGCAAGTTACTTCCAACTCTCTGCTGCATGGTCTCTGTCTGTAACGTAGAAACAATCATACTTACCTTTGATTTTAAAGTATTTTGAGATGTATTAATGAGACTTTCTGTATTGGTCTGGAGAGATGAGCCATTCAGTTCAGTGGATGCTGAAATGTAGAAAAATTAGAAGCTGTCATTAGAAGGCAATTGAAAAATGTTTTAGTCAAATACTATACGGTAAACTTCAGTCATGATGTTTAATATTACAAACTCATTGTTTATCAACGTGTTAGAGGAAACAGTGTATGGAACTCTGGAGTTTCGTAGGACAGCCAAGTAGAGGAAGGTCATAAAAGACCTTGTCATTGTGAGTGTGTTATACTAATGACTTTCAGAGGGTCAGCATCAAACACGCTTTTGGCATACATAGAATTTTCTTACATTAAATATGTGGAACCAGATTTATTTTGTTAAGTGTTACCCATGTTGGTCAAGGAAAAGCTCACTTTGGCCCTTGTTTTTTAAACTCATATTGTATGGAACCCCTGAATTTCATGGAATTTCGAGGCTAGGACCTGGAAGGAGCCCAGGTACTAAAGGCAGAAAGTTAACAAATTGCTGAGATAACCTTAGAAGTAAAATATAAAATAGAATAAAAAAAGGTCTTTGTGTAGCTGCAAGGACAAATGCAATGATGATTAAATGGGGGCTATTAATGAGGTTGCTTTGCACAGGAATTCAAGGCTTAATGTTACAAGAACACACAGTGTGTTTTACCTCTCCATTCATCATCATTTTAATGAGAAACTAGAGATGAGATTGATTTGTATTCATTTTTTCAGGGAAAGTCCAAAACAATACCCTGTTTTAATCCCAACTCTTTATTGCCAGGTAGGTGCCTTTGCTTACTTTTGTGTGGGTGGATTTCTAGCTAATTGCAGAGGCTGAGACAATCTTGATCTAAAGCATAGCCTAACTGCAAGCCTCAGAGTGTGTCCTATAAGGTGGTAATGCATTTTGCACCTAGTGGTGCTAACTGGAATAGGCGTGAAGTCCCATTGGAATTTACGATAAATCTGCACCTCAGCCGTGTGAGTGGGAGGTGATATCATAGTCCTTGCACTGCTGACAACACTGTAGTCAGCTTTCTTGATGATTTATCATCCCACCTAGAGGGGGAGCTGTGTGTACTCCTTTCTCTGCTTCGGCATAGAATAGGAAGCGTAAGGTTACCTACTTACCAAGGTAACATTTTGGCAGTGTAAAAAGACAATGCCCAAATGCAATGACAGTTGTATAGCATGCAAGGAGTAGTGACAATGGGAGGCAAATTCAAATTCATGTAGCTAAAAGTTAAAGAGCAATGATGAGAAACAACCACTTCCTCTACCTTGTCTTGAAAAAAAGGTGACTTTTCAAAAAATGCATTTTTACAAGACGAATATTTCTGCAATGAACCCTTCCGAGCTAAATTCTGTGTCACAGTGGCAAGCTCTTTAATTTTTTAAAGTATTCCAGGTCTACATTAAACTATATAAAATATATCAAAAGAATATTGTTTAGGTTGCAAAGTCAAGTGCTCAATAATTAGGAATTGCAGGAATTAAGGCTGCCTGTGCCCCTTCATGCATATGCGTTATAAAGCATCTTTTAATTCTGTGACCATTTTTTTTACAGGACCCCTGCCTCACAGTTCCTGTTTGATGCTGATCAAGTCACATACACCAAAATCTTCATAAGTCATCTCTAATTATGTGTTCCTCATTTTCTAGGTGCCCGACTTGAGATCATGGGGTCTGATTTGCAGAAGTGCTGAGTGCTTACACCTCCAACTGAAGTCAATGGGAGCAGTGCTCTGATTGCATTAAGTGCTATAGAAAGTTAACTACTCTGAGAAATCAGGTTCTAAGCATCTCATACTGAACACCTCAGATTAATAGATGCATTTGACCTTAACTTCTATGTGCCTCAGTTCCCAGCTTTAAAGTGTGGGGGTAGTCTGTCCTTCCTCACCACACTGGGGTGTTGGAAGTATAAATTAATTCATGTTTGTGAAGCACTTAGACACTGAAGAAATGAGTGCATTAGAAATACGAAAAAATGAGAAAACGTGGTCCTTCTAACAAGCAGGATTTGAATAGCATGGGAAAAAGAAGACCAAGGACCACATATTGTTCTGAGAAATCCAAAAGTTACTAGGTGCTTTTCAAAAGAAAATTATCCATCTTTGCAAGTAAATGATGAAAGGTTCTCTAGAAAAGACATACGTGATCATGTAACAAGACGGTGTCACGATGCATGCACAGGATGGGCTGAATTAATTCTTGCAGTTCTTAACTTTTGAGTGTTTGACCATGCAACTTGCTTTTAGTGGATTTGCTATGTAACTCCCTAACTGAGAAAGAAAATTGCACCGACAAAACAAAATCCTGATGTTCACTGACAAGCACAGGCTTCATTAGCAAGATTAAATTCTACTGATACTCCTCTGAGCTAGTAGTGAAATGGCAGTAACAAGTTAGATCAACTAAGCAAGTTATTCCAGTTTCCAACTTCCCATCCTGTCCTTGTCAAGCTAGTCACAACATTCCCCCTAGCTCTCCATGCCATCATTAACCAGCCTTTGTCTCCAGTTCCTCTCAAGGTTTGTTTCTTGTCCCTTCTTTCACAGTGAGGCAGTTTCCTCTACATACTTCTTAAGCTGTGTCAGGGAGTCATTTGTGAGTATGGCCTGGAGCAGCAAAGGGCAGCCCTATGTAGTCTCACGAAGTGCGGTGTGACTGGAATCTCTGGGAAATTAAAATTAAAATAATTAAAATCAAACATGTATGTAGAATTAACACTCTGGACAAACACTTGTATGTTTTTGAGAGAGACAACTGTTTATTCTAACAGTTATTTATAAAACTATTAATAAGTTTGTAAACTTACTAAAATAATTTTGTTCTTAAATAGACCTTGATTTTTTTTCCCTGTGAAATTCAACTCACTTTTCCAAAGCTAGAAGACACCAGTGCATCTCACAAAATACATCACCAGAATCGTGAACTGAAAAGTTTGGCTTGAGCTGTTTTCACTGAATTTTTCTAAAAAATGAAATAAATTAATCCCTGAGACATATCCTAAATGTAGAAGTCCATTAAAATTTGATCACCACATCCTCTCTGCCTTCAAAATGTGATGTCTCTTGTAGCTTTTGACACTAACAGGTGTTATTTCCTACCATTTTATTTAATTGCTGTGTTAGTTTAAGGAGTTGTGCACACTATTTTTCCCGCACATAAAGTGGCATTCTCATCTTTAAAATACTCACGTGCCAGGGGACGTTACTGTAAGATAATGACCACAAGCTCATGTATGTTCACATGAGAAAGTAGTGGACGGTGGCAGGTTATAAATTCATACCCTAACTTACTGCATACTAACTCCATCATATGAGCAAGCCCATGGCTATCATAAGCTGTCATAATTGGAAAGACACAATTATTTTCCTTAATGTCATTAAAATGCCACATTTCTCTTAATTTCAGATCCTCTACTGCGTGACTACTGGGTGTATGAGGGCTCTCTAACCATTCCACCCTGCAGTGAAGGTGTCACCTGGATATTATTTCGCTATCCTTTGACTGTGTCCCAAGTGCAGGTAACAGCTGTGCTTAAAGTGACCTTGGAATATGGTTATGAGCTAAAGGTTATAGCGTGCAAATATATATATCAGGGCATTATATCTGTTCTCCTTGAAGATCCCATTAGATCAGTACATGGCTTTTCAAGTAAAGGTTAAGCCTTTTGAGTCACTGAAAGCAATGCAAAGGTCAGAGATGAAAAACCTTGTTATCATTTATCATCTGCATTTAAAATAATTCTTTATTTAAGTGAAAGAAAAAGAAAGAAAGAAGTCAATGGGCAAAAGAAATTCAATTCTTTGTAATTGTAAGCTTTCAAATATCACTGCTTTTTGATGTTAAAGAACAAAAAGCACAGGGAGACACTATGTCCTGGAGAATGAAAAATGTTAACGTACTACGGGCTAGCTATATTGCATTGAACTATATTTAACTTATCTTGCTCTTTTAAATTTCTGTTTTATGATAAATGTCAAATGAAAACTACCTCTTTAAATTTGATTTCACATGTATGTATTTTAAAGTTTTTTTTAAAATTATATCTAACAGTGGTGTGAACCTTTCTGTAGAAAACATTTCAAATCTGTCTACAAATAATCCCAGAGAAAGCAATGAAAACTCCTGATGAATATTTTCCCACAGTCTGTGAATCCCAACTGGAGGAATGTGGGTATAATTTAAGTGAAACTATCTAGAATCCCTGAAGCTGAATGCATTAATTTTCATTGCCTGCTCTGAAGCGTGTGCAAACAGAAGAGAAAAAAGTATAAAAGGTGATAAATTGACATTTAAATTATTTCAGCTTTAATGATCTACAGTTTTGCTAGGAATTCCAGCACAATATTTTAACAGTTTTTAACATCTTGAATTTGGCAGTGTTTCTTTTTGTATGAAAATGGAATTCTAGTTCTAATCATAGGACAAAAGCAAGAGCTCCCCATAAGTGTATTTGTATGGTAGCTGCAACTTAAATGTATTCCATCATGAACCTGGTATTTATTTGCTTATGAAAGGATAAGCTTTATAGCTGCTTACTACTGAGTAAATGGAAACAGAACTCAGTTGGCATTATTAGGTTCAGAATAACTTTTAAAGACACAGCACATTTTGTAACTTGGCAGCTAATTGTCCAGATATGATACAGACAAATAAGAAGACTTAATCAGAAGTATAAAGACAATAGCTATTACACTGAGACATTGTATGACATTTTATTTCATGGTAGTTGCAGATTTTAGAGTCTCTATTCCCTTTTAATCCAGTCAATGCACCCAGGAAGGCACAGTTCAAGCTACCCAGATGTGATGGGAGATGGCGAGGAGGTGAATGAAAGAGGAATTAAGCAGAGAAATGCAATTTCAGTTAATATTGCTATGTGCTCATTTGCCACAAGAAAATAAGATGTTGCAACGTGATGTGAAGGGGATAAGTCTCCAGAAGATAATACTGTGCCTGGGGAAAAGAGTGTGATTCATAACCATGGCTTTCTTTAGGTGAGGGGTACCTGGTTTGTGTTGCTACATTACTTTGATTGGTGTAAAACAAATCCAACAAGAACGTTGCAGTGAGGAAGGGCGTACAAGTCACGGAGGGGCTTTTTACCTGCCACTGACACAGTATGGAGGTGAGATGTGGAGCTGGAGCAGAGAGAGAGATTGGAGCAGACTTATGCCAAGATGATCCATGATACTTTGTACTCATCGTAGATCAGCACCAATTAGAAAAAAACCAATCCTTACTGCTAGTTATGAATGCAGCAGCACTGAAGTCAAGGTTGTGCAGAAAAGGCTTACTAAGAACATGAAGGGCTTTTGCCAAGGTGGGATAAAAATTTTATTTGCATCAGATACTGCTTTCAGATGTCAATTGAAAATAAAAATAGGAACAAGTAAGTGAGAGATGGTGATTCTGAGATTCTAAAGTCAAAAGGGACTGAGAAGCTCTCCAGAATGCCCAAAATAAGGTTTTGGGGGTGCCAGAGTATTTTTCTATAGCCTAGACATCCAAGATTTTAACTTGTAATTAGAATTTTGGTTGCAATTAAATATCTGGCCTCTTTTTTGCATGTGGGCATGAGCGCCTATGAGAGATTCTGTTTAAGGAGAGATTAGAAATGCAAGGGCTTTTGTCTATGGAAAATAAGAGGATGTAGTATAGCATATACCAGTCTGAATCATCCATGGAAAGCTGGTAAAGACATTTAATTTTATTAAGCCTGCTTGTAGTATTAAAGCATAGATATCAGTGAAAATGCATTTCTAATGGATTTAAATAGATTATTTTTACATGTGTCATTAACTTGTAGAACTTTCTTCTGTGGGATAGTCATGAACACAGCTTATGAAACTTCAAGCGATTTATATAAATACTAGTAGCATCTGTGGTTATAGCCAGTAAGAAAAAAATTCAAGGCTTTCTGTTTTCATTTTTTCAGGCCATAAAACAATCAACTTCTGAGTATCAATAACAAGTAACACTAAAGAACAACACAGTCTGATATGGAATAGGTTTTATTGTCTTCCTCTGATGAAGCTAGTTAATATACTGGAGACAAGATACTCATGGTCATTCTTATTTTCTGTAATTAATATAGCAATATTGATTAGCTTAACCAACTGCAGGTCATAAGGGGAAAAATGAATAAAATTGCAATTCTAGTTCATGGTCACATTATATATTTTCACATTTGCTTATTTTGAAACAGTGGAGAAGTAACTATATTGGCATAGAACAGCAGCATCAGGGAGGTACTTTCCTGTAGTCCAATGCTGCTTCCTCACTGGAAGTAATTTTCTTTGACACAAGGCTTCACTTCATCAGAGAGCTGTTTCCTTCACAGGTGGTTCTGTGAGGTCTGGATAAAGTGTGCAGGCAACTCTTCTCCTCTGGGCTTTGCAAATCTGGTTCTCGGGAGTTTTATTACTGACCTCAGTGGAAAGGAGCTTGTCTGGAAAGCTGCACCCTGCAGTGCTCTTTTTGCATATTCTTGCCCTCCTTTTGAGGGTTTTATCATCCTCGCTTGTCTTATGTTGCCCAGAAACAACTGTGTTGACTGCTTTTGTGAGACACCTCACCCATGCAGGTACACTGCTGAAATACAAGGGGAGAAAATAGAAAACTTCCTCCTATTAGGCCAGTAAAGAGCAGGAAATAATTGAAAAAGACTTGCTCATGCTTCTCTCCACTGTATTTTTAAAAAATTGGACATTTGTGAATAATGTGCTTTGTGGTTCACTGAAGCCCAGAATAAGTACATTGTCTAATCCACTCAGAGTAGGGATTTTAAGCAATGGTGCAGAAAGGAGCTATCGTTCTTCTGTACTTGTTGTCAGAGTTAACTGGGTTTGTATTGAATGGTGAGGTCTCTAGTCCTTTTGTCTACCTCATTCAAAATCAAGACCTCCTAAAGGACAGAAATAGTAATGAGCATATGGAGCTGGGGTGGGAATTGTGCAAAATTTATGTAGTTTGTGAAATAAAGCATTCTGAGAGACTCACGGTATTTTGTTCACTGGGAAACAGGTCTGTGTTCTTGGAAGGTGTCATTGAGGCATGTGAAATTTTCAGACAATGATAATGCTTCTATTCTTCATATAGAAGAAATGTGTGTAGAGAAAACATGCAAATTCTTTGTTTTGTGTGTTCTACAGCAAATTTTTAAGTGAGACAGAAGAAAGCAGTATTCAGGATCTGAATACAGGGAAATGTTAAAACTACTCCTGCAAAAATCCACAAAATATAATCTAACTTTGTTTTTACTCAGTAGACATGCTAAGATTGTGTATTTACCCTTTCACTGATTAGAACTGGATCCTGAATTTTGTGTGAACAGGCCTGGGTCATCCTTAGTGTCTTCTGGGCATGAGAAAAAAATTTATAAATGGCTATTCCCATTGAAAGTGTGTGAATATCCAAGGGTGCTTAGACGCATGCCTCTAAAATATCTGTTTGCTCGGCAGTCCTGCAGTGTGTACTTCACAGCCATGACTTGGGAGGAGGTAGTAAATGGTTCCATCTTAGAGGCAGCAGGATGAGTGGGGCACACATATTATTGCCTTATCATGTGGAAATTTAATATGAAAAGTAACGTCAGCACAGCTAGCATTTCTGACAACAACTTCTCAAGAGTGACTGTGTAATATAGAGGGTTTCTGTCACGGGGGTCTTAACCATGATGCAAAAAACTGAACAGGGAGGCTGGTGGGCTCAGAGGCAATTCCCCCTTGGAGCAGGGCTGGGATTCTTGACTTCCCTGAAGACTGAAGAACAGGCACGGGGATCAAGTCAGTCCTACTTTCCTGACTGAAGAAACTGGAGGCTGCTTTGTGAAGAGTACCTCCTGGAGAAAGATTTCACTGTGAGGACTGGGGCAGAGCATTTGTAGTTATTGTAGGAGACAGCTCACAAATGCCAGCTTTGCAGAGAGTCTGCTCTTCCCTCTCCTTCATCTGTGTTTGTTTGAAGTCTCTCATTCTCAAAAGATCAAACAAAAGCCACATTCTTGTAAAATGCTTCTTCCCAAACTACAATTATTTCAGGCTTTCTGGAGTTGATTCAGGTGGTGAAAGTGGGTACCTTTACAAAACCCATTCAGTGATTTACCAGCTCTTGACTCCTGAAGACTTTTAGAGTACCAAGCCTATAGTGGGGTTGTTTTTCAGTTTGCTTTAAATAAACAAACAAAAAAATCTTCCAAAAGAGAGTTCTGCCTCTAAAAGCACCTTCAAGGAGCTTTACAGTTTGTTCTGCTTTTCATCTTTTCAGTCTAAGCTGTTGCCTTATATCTCAGCTGTTGCCTTATTATATCTCAGCTGCAAGAAGCTGAGTGTTGATTTCTAAGCACACTGTTTTTTGAGGAAAAGACAGCAGAGCCGATCTAGCCTCTAAATCAAGTAAATAAGTCTGTATCAGTTCTGCTGTAGAGTGGGAAAAAACAAAGAAGACAGTTGTCTTCAAGGTTGCAGTAAGATAACATTCTCTGCAGGCAATATATGAGAATATATGAGAATAAAAATACCATTACCTGCTGTTTAGTACCTCATTTCTTTTAATTCTGGAATCACACTTGCATTCTCCCTGTAATCCCTCATAGGGTGTTTTTCATGGAGATATTCTCTCTATAATTTCTTAGATGATAAAATGATTAAGTACTTCAGGCTCCATTTTGCTTTCTGTGTAGCTTCAGTTTCAAGGCATCACAGGGTCAGTACAAGTCACTCCCAAGCTGAGGCTAGGGGAGTCAGCCTTCAAGTAGGTTTGCTGTATCCAGCTAAGAGAGCTTGTCAATATGCCAAAGCAAACACAAACACATTTTTTTTTGTAGTTGTAACTACTTTAAAATATCAGATTCTTAAAACCAGCACTGTTGAACAGTAAGGTATAATGTTGTTGAGATATGCATTGATTTTCTTAGTTTTTTATTCCACAGAGCTTGATGCTGATACCAGCGATGGAGATAGAAGCTGCTCACATACTTCCCTACCCCAGATTAGATTTAGAAAAATCTAAAAAGAGTCTATAAACTGGAAACTTATTTGTTTTGGACCAATTTAAAAGTTTTAAATTGATTTTTGACTGTATTTGATTTTCAAGTATGCTTAGTGCCTACATCTACAGAAATATTGAAGTGGTACTTTGTTTTGATGTGAAAAAACATATTTTTCATATAAAATATCAACAGACTTCCTATAAAGCTGAGACGATGCTTACCAAACCATATGCATGAAAGTTCTTATTTTTCTCTATATGTTAAATGTTTTGACAGTGCTGACAACTATTTTTAAATGTTATTAACGATGTATATTGACCTTAGTACAAGGTACCTGAACACTCCCAAGTTTCAAAGCTGCAGAAGTGGCTGGGCAAGGCTGATTTTGATCATTAATCCCACAGTGAAGAGTGTATCTAAGCTTCTTCATCTCTGTTTTTCTGCCTTTCAGATAGAGGAATTCCGTAGACTGAGGACACATGTTAAAGGTGCAGAACTTTTAGAGGGCTGTGATGGAATCCTGGGAGATAACTTCAGACCAACTCAGCCACTTAGTGATAGAGTCATCAGGGCTGCATTTCAGTAGCAGAAGAGGAATAATGACAAAAATAAATCTTTATTCAGGTAAGTAAAAGCTTAGCAAAAAAATCAAAACATTGAAATAATTTTCATAGGGGAGATTTAGCTAAAGGAGAAAATGCCCTGAATTCATTTCAGCTAATGTTATGATATATTGTCACAACTGTAATTTTTGACACTGCACTGTTTTATTTTATCCTTGGACTTGATGATCTTAAAGGTCTTTTCCAACTAAACGATTCTATGATTCTATAATAGTTTGTTTACTATTAGGTTCTTTTATTTATATTGACTTCGGTGCACAGGGGATCACACACAGTTAGATCACAGTTACTCCTTGTAGCTTTAAATTTCTCCTACTGCAGTGAGCAACAGCACAGCATACCTAGGTTATGTGGTAGGTCCACTTACTGAGGTTCACTGGTCAATTTCTTACAGTGTTTTTAGAAGACCAGTCATTGGTGAATCTTTCTAGTATTATCTGTTAAAAAACAGGATAGTAGTTCTGGAAGGAGGCCTTTAATTCTCAAAGGAAGCCTTTTTTTTTTTTTTTGGATCCCTTCTCCCTGCTTTACAATGCTGTTCTTTCCCAGCAAGACTGAATCTTGGGTAAAACCAGTGCAGATACAAGAGGAAACTAATTAACTTCTGTCAAGGCTAATTTTTCATATTTCATTCATCAAAGTAGTTGCTTCTTCTTGTCCTCAGTGATGTTTTCAGCCTTCATTGGCTCACAGAGAAAGATTTAAGGATGACATTGGATTCAATGCATAAGAGCTAATACACACATGAAGCTGCGTTATCCCCACTTCAGTTGTTAAAACCTCCCATGTCATGTTCCCCTAGCCTCTATCAGTTACAAGATAAATTCCCTCAATGCTCAACAGTTACTCCTATATCTCATTATACTTAGTTAATCAATGTTTTACTATAATGAAAAACCTGGTGATGAGATTCTTAGAGAGTTAGAGAAAATTTGCTATCAAGGCACTAGTTACCTTGCAAGTGGTGAGTCGAGACACCAACATTTATGGCTGATTTTGTAATGAAGTGGCCCCACCTTAATACCAATAATAAGACAGCTAATCTGGGAAGTTTTCAGTAAAAGAGTGAATCTGTTCACTTGCTTTCTTTAATATGTCCTACTACTTTTTAGCATAGTAAAATTTTTCATCTACTATCCTACAGTAAACTTTATTTAAATAATAAAAACATTGGGTACTCCCCATTACCTTGTTTTACTGGTAGAGTTCATTATATAAAAACATCAGTTTTTCTATCTGCATATTTCTTCAAAGCCACATGCTCACAAGAGAACCAATTCATCCAGAGTTTCACCTGGAAGCATGCTGCTGGAAGGTTTTTAGTATACATTTTTGGGTAAGGACATTTGTTTGTGCATTACATTCTTGACCTATCTAGGTTAATGATGGAAATCCTTAGTTCACTTCAGGCTCTTGTTGTGGAGTTAAGCCTCTTCAGAGCATGCTCTGGGTCCAGCCTCCAACTTCATATGAAGTTAACAAATGATCAGGCAGCAGATAACCCCTAAAAGAGATTAATAATTCAGTGCTTCCAAAAATGGATCCATTAAAACCAAGTAGGAAGATTATCTTTCCTCCTGCATGTGACAGAAATTATTAAATGGGCTGGGACAGTGGCCAACAGTTTCGTGGTCTTTCCATATAGCGCAAGCATTCAATATAGTGTATGCATCTAAACATCTTTGAAGTAAGATTTTGTTTGTATTTTATAACCCTATTTAATACCTGCATCCCAGAAGTTAAGCAAAGAAAGCAAAACATTGGTCCTTATATTAATATTGTTTTCTCATTGCCATATTTAATTTTGGGCACATCCCTAAGCCCCATTCTCAATTGCATGGTTCTCCGCAGTCACCAAATGTCATCACTTGAATCTTGAAATGGATGCTTCAAATTCATCCCGACTTCTTCATAAAAATTACTTGGGAATATCATAGCAATATTAAAGTACAATTTTTCTCAGAGAGTGAATAATGCCCTCAGGCCAGTGCAGGTAATTCAAGTCTGTAACAGTGAAATTACTTGACATGCTGAGTTTGAATTTTAAGCATGAAAGAGTTTCCTTTACAATGCTGGAATTAAAATGTAAAAAATTCCCTTTTGCTTTCATGTTTGAAATTTTATTACATTTGTCAATACTTATAAAGATTTGTTTTATATAATAAGATTTATCTTGGCCATGCTTCACAAAATAATCTGCAGTTTTAATTCCCAAATGATGGAATTTTTAATGTAAAATGATAGTCCTCACTGTAGGGCTATGCTAATTACGGACTCTCCAGCACTGAGAAAGAACTGTGACTCCTGGCATTGTGTAGCCCACAGAAGAAATGGTGCTTGGCTCTCTACACCTGATTGAATTATTTGTCAGAAATTCATTTGGTCTTCTTTTTAGTTTGGAGGCATCAGTCCAATCAAAGGTTCATAATATATTCTTGCTATTGAGTTTGTCTCTGAGGAGCTTGAAACTAGATATACGAAGTATAAGAAGAAATTGTGTGGCTTTGATCACCTTTACTCTATGCAAAGAGGGAGAAAGGGAAGAAAACAATCCTACCTACTTTGTAGTGATCTCCTCACACAGTTCTCTCCAGAAGGAAGGTGTTGAGGAACAGTAGCTCCTCACACAGATCTCAGACATCCTCAGAAAAGACACATTCCCTCATTCATAGGAATGGGTAATGGTCCTTAAGCTGGGACTACTGACATTGGCTGAATATTGCTGTGAAGACTCAGTAGCAGATGGGGACATAATAGTTTGCAGGGTGGCGTCTACATAGTGATCCAAGAGGGAGCATTTCTTCTTTTCAAAGAGGAGATTACCTTTTATTTTAAAGTTCTGGTATGTCTTGAATATTACAATTACAAACACACTGGTGGACTTCTTTTCTGACATGATGCCCCTCTGTCAAGGCTGTTGGAACTCCTGTCAGTGGAGTTTCAATATTTTCTTTTATTCCAAGCCAGTGTGGTGCAGCCACTTGAAGAACCTTGAGGAACATTAGTTTTCCCTGACCTTGTCACTCTGTCAAGGAAAGGAGAAGACAAATGTTTCCATAAATGTTGCATACAGGTGTAGAAAGAAGTTACTTGAAAGGTCTAATTAGTTTTGACTGAATCAGAATTCAGGCTTTATGCATGCCATGCTCAGATCTTCGGGACTTCTGCTCTTTAACCTCAATTAAAAACCTTGACAGAACTGAACCCTTTGTGGCTTAAGATCAAGTGGCGTAGGTTGAGCTTTGATGCAATTTGTGGTAGTTTGCCAAACTGAAGACAGAGATGACACAAACACGGTATATCATGGTGTGTAATGTCAGGTAAAGAACTGTTTTGGTTTTTTTTTTAGATGTTCCTCTATCATGGGAAAGCCCACATCCCAAAATACCCCCTTCCAGTTCTAGAACAAAGTTGGGCTAGTCTCTAAAAGGAGCCTTCAGGAGGAAAAAAACAAGTAGAACTTTGTAGATTCATGGCTCTCTTTAACCCATTGGGCTTTAGAATAAGTTTGTTGCTGTCTAATTAGTCTCTTTTGACTCTGCTTTCCTGCTAAAAATACATCTCTCTCCTATAGCCTGGGGTTAATGAGTCTTTGGATTCTGTTATGCGGGTGTTTTTTAAATACATCCCTTAGAGAACAGCCTTTACATCCTTTCTCTCCTTCAGTTGCCAAAGTTTTCACATATGTTTCTTTCAAAAAAGCTTTTTTTTTTCCTTATTTCTAACCTCTTTTAAGTTATATCCAGTAGTGATAGAACCAGCCAGGTGTTAGGGAATGTGGAGGGAAAGCTCAGTACAGATTCGCTTTCAGACATGGAAGGTGAAAAAATTGAATTAATTTTTAGACAGTGAAGAACAATAGAATCATAGAATAGCTGTGGTTGGAAGGTGTCTCTGGAGATCTGCTAGCCCAGTCCCCTGCTCAAAGCAGCATTAACTACAGTGGGTTGCTCAGGGCCACGTCCAGCTGGGTTGTGAATATCATAAGAATGAAGACTCCACAGCCTCTTTGAGCAATCTGTACCTGTGTTTGACCACCCTTGCAGGGAAAAAGTTTCTTCTTCATTGTAAATGAAATTTCCTGTATTTCAGTTTGTACCCGTTGCCTCTTCTTTCACTTGACACCACTGAAGAGTCTGGTACCATCTTCTATACTTCTTCTCATAAAGTATTTATAAACATTGATAAGATCCCTCTTGAAGCCTCTCTTCTTGAGGCTAACTGGTCCAGCTTTCTCAGCCTATCCTTCTATGACATGTGCTCCAATTCCGTAGTCATCTTTGTGGCCTGTTGCTGGACTCACTCCAGTATGTCCATGTTTCTTTTGAATTGGGGAACCAAGAACTGGACCCAAAACTCTAGAAGTTTCACCAGTGATGAGTAGAAGTGATGATCCTCTCCCTCCACCTACTGGCAATGCTCTTCCTAGTGCAGCCCAGGAGACTGTTGGCCTTCTTTGTTGCATGGGTGCATTACTGGCTCGAGTTCAACTTGCTGTTTACCAGGAAGCCCAGATCCTTTTCTGAAAGAAAAGAGAAAGGATAACATTGTGACTTCCTCAGTGTTGCCACTAGTTTTTTTGATACTTCATACTTGACTCAGAGCCCTTGCTATGGGCACCAGGGTATTTCCTGATAATCTCAGGTGATCTTGGAAAAAGATTTGTAATTCTTATTGTTATACAGCCAAGCTTAACAATGGAGACATCAAATGCTACCACTCCTAGAAATCAAATAAGAAAAAACATTTTATGGAAAGTTTTTGGCAATTTGAGTCCTGACTCACTGTTTTTAAACATGTGAATTGTGAGTATACCAGCAGGCTATTTGATTTTGGTGCTCGCCATCTTGCCTCATGGAGAAGTACTTTTTTAGCAGTGTATTCTTCACTGAAGACAGGATCATTTGTGGCTTCTGATGGATTTATTACCCTGTCTTTGATCCTTCTTGCTTTACATGTAACT